TGATGAAAATCCTACGCGCTGCCTTTGGAAGGTGTATTGGGTAGAGGCCCATGGGCCTGTCTCCCCAACCCTCCGCCCCACCTGGCACAGCGCCCCTCACCAGTGTCTACCGCATCTGCTCGGCCTCGCCCACTGCTTTCAGTGCTTCGAGCAGAGGCCAGGCTTATTTTCCTTAAAACAGAAAAAAACAAGACTAAAACTCAAAACCCTTTTTATATCCGTGGTTCCTACCATGACAGGGATGGGCCCCCCTGGGCATCTCGTGAGAGCGATGGACCAATGCCCCGGAAGGACTGCACAGCCATCAAACCTCAGGAAGGATTCTGAGGTTTCATGCATGCCCTGAAGGGTGGGGAGCCAAAGAGAGAACTACTTAGGAGTTACACTGAGATAACCCAGTGATACTGAGAGGTGTAGGGTGGGCCATCGTAGGCAAACTGGGGGAGTCCTCAGTTTCCTCAGGCTTCATCCCTGGACTCGCATTGCTGTTCACGCCTCACCTGGAACCTTCTCCCACAGGCCCCTGGCCCACTCATTGTCCTCCCAGTGATCCCATCTTGATGGCGAGGCAGTGACACCCCTCTCTGATGTGATGAAGGCTCTAGAGTCCAATGTGGCTTGGCCACTCCCTCACTGTGCAACTTTGGGGAAGTGATGTAATAATGACCCTGGGCACGATTTTTCTCAGCGACTATCTAACAGGGGTGCTGTGAGGATTCAACACGTTCTCATTTGTAAAGTACTCAGAACAGTACTTGGCACTGAGTAAGGACTACAGAAACATTAGCACTAGACTATTATCTGAAGGCAATCATCTTGTCAAGTGCCTATTTAAAAAAAAGTTCTTATCAGTTCTTCTCAATGCTGCATATATAGTGGGTGCTCAGAACACACTCCCCAAGTTTCTGAGCAAGGTGGCCGAGGTCAAGAATCAGAGCCTGGAAAGCTCAGTGCCCAGCTCCTGCCCTAACCACTTGTTGGCCGAAGAGCCAGCCTCAAGCTGAGCAAAGAAAGCAGTGCCTGGACAGCTCTAATCATCTTCCTTGGTGGCCTGCGGCCTGGTCCCCGCACTCAGCCAGGGCTGTCCCACTCCATCTTATGTGATCCTCACCAAAGGGCAAGTGGAGCTGGCAGGGCAGACTGCGACCCGCTGCACACACAGAGCCCCAACTGTCCACCAGCGCGGGCAGCTTCCTTCTCTAGGGGCCTCTGGTCAGCCCCCAACTTCCTCCTTCCTCCACTGTCACTGGTGGTGCTTCTGGCTCGTCTCCCTCCTTCAGGCTTTCAACTTCTCTGTTGTTTCTCCAGAGGGGAGGCTTGGCCTTCTTCCTGCCACACATCCCTCCTTGCTGGTTCCAGCCATGTTTCAAATGTGTCACCAGGTACTGGCCTCCCAACCCGGCCACTGGCCTGATGCCCCTTCTGAGTTACAGCCCCTCGTTTCCAACTATCCCAAAACACCTGAAACTCCATGCCAGCCCCTCTGGTGTCACTGTCCCCTCTGTGGCCAACTGCCCTTCCTATGGTTGCATTCTCTGCACTACGAGCTGCCTGCTCGCTCTCCTACTTGTATCTGCCCCTGCCTCCTACAGCCAGTCACCCAGCTCTGCTCCGGCCCGCTCTGGGACATTCTGCACACCCACCCCCATTCTGGTCCCCCTTCCTTCAGTCTCAGCGGCCTCCTGATGGGTCCCCTACTTCGAGTCCCTCCTGCTCCTGCAACAACTATGATCTTCCTGAGGTAGAGACTCTCCCTTGGAGGTTCCTGAGAGCCGCCTCACAGGGAGGTGGGGCCTAACACACTCTGTTGTTACAGGCGGACCCTCATATAGTGTGGGGGTTCGGGGGCCAATCCCTGTGCAGTAGAAAATCCATATAGAACTTCTGACTCTCCCAAAACATAACTAATAGCTTACTGTTGACAGGAAGACTTACCCATAACAAATAGGTGTTTATTACGAATTTTGTGTATTATATATTTCTATAATAAAGCTAGAAGAAATGTTAAGAAAATCCTAAGATACATTCACAGTACTGTACTTACTGGGGGAAAAAAAAATCCAGATATAAATAGACCGATGCAGCTCAAAGGTCAACTGTTGGGCACTTGGGTGGCTCAGTGGGTTAAAGGCTCTGCCTTCGGCTTGGGTCATGATCCCAGGATCCTGGGATCGAGCCTCACATCAGCTCTCTGCTCAGCAGGGAGCCTGCTTCCTCTCTCTCTCTGCCTACCTCTCTGCCTACTTGTGATCTCTGTCAAATAAATAAATAAAATCTTAAAAAAAAAAAAGTCTACTGTTTGTTATGACCTTACCTAACAGCTAAAATATTTCAGTCATGTTGCTTACAGTTTGAAGTCATTGTTCTAATCTCAATCTTCATGGCTATTTCCTTGAAGGAGAGAAACCAGGCTCAGGCATGCCCCGTGGGCAGCAAGTGCAGACCCCGCTCTGTGATGTCGCAGGCCACCCCAAATCTGCACAGCACCCTCCCCAGCAGCAGCACCCCCACCTGCTGTCCCCCTCCCCAACCCCGAACACCCGTGGACTTGCTTTCCGCCGGTCTTTCTCCTGCTGCCGGGGTCTGCACAGCCGCCACCTGCCCTTGCTCCTGTCTCAGCCAAGTCTCCTGTCCTCTAGGGCCCTGGCCCGTGGCTCTGTTACTGGCTTCCCCGCACCAGCACCCTGGTCACCCCCACCCCCCAGATGTCTCCTCCACGAGAAGCGCTGGCGGGTGCACTGGGTCTGTCCTGTCCTGCCCGAGTCGGCAAGAGCACGGCAGGTGCTCGCCGAGACCTCAGCGGACCAGCGCCACACGGCAGGAATGCTCGTCAGTTCCCGCTCGTCGAGGTGACAGAAAGCACGCTCTGACAGAGGCGGAACAGAACCTGCCACAACTCCACAAGAGAATGCTGTAGAGAACCTGAGCACGTTCCCCACGATGCCATCCGAGATGAACAATGCACTGGGTAGGACGCGGGGGTTCATATGCCCTCGTTTTCCTCGGGTTACCGTATGGTGTAAGGATTTCCAGTGTATGTATGCATTTCAGAGCTGAGCCTAGATTTTTTAACAAACTAAGAAATCAGTACTAGATAACTCCCTAGAGAAAGGACAACTGAACATCAAGGGTCTAATTTTTGAAGTATTGTTTTTATTAAAACTGTATTAAAATGGATTTAAGGCACCTGTCACCAATTACCTTCCCCCCCCCAAAAAACCTACTGCAAAATTAAAATAAAGTTAAAATCTAAGTTTCTTAAATAACTTTAGAAACCCTGTAACAAACTCTTCAATTTAATACTTAGCTCTGACCGAGGAGTCCAGCTGTGGGCCAGACACCTGTCTGTGGTCTTTCCGACTCAATGCAGGCGATCACAGAGCCCACCCGAGGGATGCAGCCCTCCCCACCCCTGCCCTGCAAACAGCCAGAGTGTGGCAGTCTCTGGGCGACCTGCATTATAGGACTCGGCACCTGGGTCCCCCCCTTGCTGTTCCGCCTCTGTGAACTCCTGGCCTACCCACCTTCCTTCAGAGCCTCCCCATCTCCTTCCACAGGCACCTCTGCTAAGCCCTCCATGGGCTGGGGGAGCGCTCCCCCGGGTTCAGCGTCTTGCTTATGCTACAGCAGGAAGCGGGTACAGACTTCACTGTTAATTTCACCTGGCTTACCTTTGCAGCTTTACTGAGGTAGAACTGACAAAGTTGTAATGTATTTAAAATGTACAATGTGATGATCTGATCTACAGTAGTCCCCACCTGCCCCCCCACCCCCCGGCCCATCTGTGCTTTCAGATACTCAAGGTCAACCAGAGTCTGCAAGCAAATGCTCCTCCTCCTGCTGGATCGTCAGAGGGTTGGAAGTGGCCTAACGCTGTGCCCCAGTGCTCACGTCCTTCCCCTCACCTCACCTCCTCCCTGTGGGCAGTTCACCATCTCACAGCATCACGAGGAGGGTGAGTACAGCACAGCAGGGTATTCTGAGAGCTACCACATTCACATAACTTTTATTACAGTACACTGTTAGAACTGTTCTATTTGATTACTAATTTTGTTGTTAATCTCTTACTATGCCTTATTTATAAATTAAGCTTTATCACAGATATTCATGGATAGAAGAAGAAAACCTGTCCTATTTCAGGTTCAGTACTATCTGTGGTTTCAGGAGTCCACTGGGGGCCTTGGAATGTATACCTGTGGATTGGGGGGGGGCTACTGTACGTATACATGGGTTGTGAAAGGTTCCTACCATCCAGTTAATTAATCCACCCATCACCTCCTCGTTACCCCCCAACATTTTTTTTGGGGGGGGAAATGCTTCAGATCTACTAAGCAAATTTCCGTTATAGAATACAGAATCATCAACCATAATCACCACCTTAGATCCGCAGAACTAAGTCATCTTCTAGCTGAAAGCCTGTACCCAACCTGGAGGGCACTGTGTTCGGGGAAATAAGCTGGAGAAGACAATCCCACACGGTATTGCTTCTCTGTAGCCTCTTAGAGCTGAACTCCTACAAATAGTAGAGTGGGGGCTGCCAGGGCCTGAGGGGAGAGCTGGCCTGTTGTCTGAGTCTGCTCCTTGGGACACTTGGCAGCTCAGCCCTCTCTGGCTCCTGACAAAGACTCCCACAACTGACTTCATTCTCAACAAGCATTCTCGCCTCTCATGTTGTAACAATGGCTGTACGGGGAAAACAAGAGAATCAGGAGAAATGAGTTCTCTCATTAAATTAGCAATGTAGCTCTCAGGTCCCTTCGTTTTGGAGGCTGGGCCTTCTTGTCCGCAAACTAGGTTACTCAGTTGACTATATGCTGTTGAATGTTCCTTTCAGATCTAATATGCCAAGATTCTATGAATCATGCTTCTAAAACTACCTTCTGAGAAAATTTAAAAAATAAAGCAGCAGAATGAAGTTAAATATTTTTTAAAAATTATGTTTATAAGGTAACCTTTACAAAGTAGCATTTAAAAATAAATCCTCTCCCAACTCAAATGCCTGATAGTGTTGCCCTCATACTGGCCAGCAAATATTTATTGTATGTCTGCCACATGCCAGGCACATATACACGGCGTTTCCTCTCCTCGCCCGTGAAAGAACACTTAGCGCTTCTTCCAGGTAAACTTTCTGCGGGCTCCCTCTTGGCCTGGCTTCTTTCGTTCTCTGACGCGTGGGTCGGCAGTCAGCAGTCCAGCTGCGGTGCAGAAAGAGAAGTCTCTATGAACCATGGAAAATGCGCGCCGCCTAGCAGGAAAGCGAGCAGACCTGTAATGATTTACCGGCCCGGTGTAAGCACCATGACAGCAGTTTGCTCTCACTCTTTTAGGATGGTTCCCCCGTTTCGGAGACCAACACCAGCTACATCACTGGAGTCTGTTCTTCTCCTAGGAGGCCTATGGTTCCTTGTAGGTTTTTAAGCCTGTTCGACTACAGATAAGTCTGCTCTTGGGTGCGCGGTCACTATTCCCTGTGACTGCACTGATGCTGCCTGCTTGTTATTACTGATGTGAAAGTTCTAACAGAGACCAGAAGCAGAAAAAGACACTATACAGCAAAGTCAGAGGAAGTAGATGGACACTGCAGACTTAAGAACATGAATATACAAACATACATATACAGTATGACTTATCAAACTTCTGGAAGCATTCACTCTCCTAACCATAAAGAGTGAATATGATTTCTAGGCAAGTGATGAGTGTCTCTCCGCAAATGCCCCGAATAACACGCCCCTGCAGTGGCTAGAACCACACACTCCAAGAATAGCAGTGATGAGAAAGCTCTTACGATGCACTGATAAATATGTAAACAGAACATAGTTTTCCCTATCTTTTTTACTCTTTACACTAGCACTTCTTCTCCCTGTAGACAAGCTGTGGGTATCTTATTAGGAGTATCTGAATGGGCGGAAAGCAAAGGCAAACTTCAACCACTTGTTATATACCCCTAAGTTTTTGCATTTACTTGTCTTTAAAAGGGCATAGAATAAATATTTTGGACAAAATGCAGACAAGACTTGTCTAAATTCCAGTTTGAATTGTAGGTAATAATGTTTTATTATTTTTCAGTATGCCCACTAGGTCAAACTGGCAGAATTATGAAATAAGGTCCTACAAGTTACTAGAATGACCAGACATGAATCCTACAAAATGGCGAATTGTTTATAAGTGAATGGATTTTTAGAGACTCCAGGAGTCAAGCAGCCTAAGCTGGAAGTGGCGCCTCTCTGCAGTGCAGCGGCTCATGTGGGAGGAGACAGGCCTTGGTCCTTGCCCAGAGAGGCGCTGCACAGCCCAGTGGCTCGGTGACTCGCCTGGGCCACACAGCCAGTTAGTAGAGCCCCAGCGTTCTCTCCCCTTGGCCAATGGTCCGAAAACAGGCTTCATTGGAATTGTTGAAAGCAGCGCCCTAAGGAGCGAACCGATGGCCTGTCCTTTCCCACGCCGCAGATGTTTGTATTCGTGGTGAGGGGACAGAGTCACCCAGTACTCAAAGTCACGTCACAGTGGAAAAACAGAAATCTGGGACGCCTGGGTGGCTCAGTTGGTTAAGCGGCTGCCTTCGGCTCAGGTCATGATCCCAGCGTCCTGGGATCGAGTCCCACATCGGGCTCCTTGCTCGGCAGGGAACCTGCTTCTCCCTCTGTCTCTGCCTGCCTCTCTGCCTACTTGTGATCTCTCTCTCTCTCTCTCTCTCTCTCTGACAAATAAATAAATAAAATCTTTAAAAAAAAAAAAAGAAAAACAAAAAAAAAAACCAGAAATCTCCAATAATGTTGGAAAGCTACAGTATGGGCTTCATCATCACATCTAACACTTACAAGTTCGGTGATGAAACAAAAACAGTCACTGACCTGTCTGTTATCCATCACCACAGAGCGGCGCTCTGACCCTGGCTCAGCGGTTAGGCCGCCGAGGCCAAAGGAAAGCTTCTCTGATGCTGGGAGGGCTCTGTTTTCCTAATTCAAATTCACCTCACAGAAACCAGCACTGAAAAGCCCGGGTACGGTTCTGGAGCATAGAGAAGGGAAGCCAGCCAACGGCAGGCCTGTGTAGTTAATGGAATCTTTTCTGATTTCGGGGAACTGGCGCAGGAACCAGCGAGCACTCCCAGACAGGGTGGAGACCACCACCCCCTCCGCAGGTCCTACCTTGTCTCATCCACTCGACCTCTTCCTCGGTGACAAAACTGCACAAGGCTCTGGCCACCGCCAGGCGTATGGCTCCAGCCTGGGACGACCGCCCACCGCCCGAGACCGTGCAGGTCGTGTCGTGTTTTCCAAGTCGGTCGAGGAAGTGGAAGGGGAACATCAACTGTTCTCTGGAATATATCGCAAGCAAAGGCAGCTCACTATCGCGATAGTTGTGTTCTACGCTGCTCACACTGTCAACATTCACACAAAGCGTATCAGGCACACCGGTGTGCCTGCTTCAGTCACCCATAACAGGAACACCTCCTGGTGTATCTGACGTCGAGAAAGCTCTGCAGACAGCCACATGTCTTCTTCTTCTTCCTGGATAGAGCAATACACACCCTCTCACAGTTGAACGCTTTTCTCTCATGAGAACCATGCGAAGCTTGAAAATAACCTTGGAAAGAAGTCTCAGAGCTGGGAAATTCCACTAATCAGCGGTATCTCCCTGGATTCGGTGATCAGTTATCAAATGCCAGTTACAGTCACTAAACCAACTGTCCCATTACATACCTGTGTGATGTAGGACACTCATCCTGACATGCTTTGTGCAGTTACTAGAACCACATTCAACTCCTCCCCCTCCCCACCCCCAAAACACCTCTTCCTATGACTGGTTCCTGAAGCGGCAAGGCCAGGCGACACAGCGCACAGTGCCAGCCAGTCCGCTGCCCTCGGCAGTCTGTGCCTGGCTGGGCCCCACAGGCACTCCAGGAGCGGACAGTGGAATTCAGACAGAACGTGGCCCCAGACCTTCTCTCGCTTATTATACCACAGTGATGCTGAGAGACAGATACGGAGAGGACATTCAAGTGTTACTCCTCAAGCTACAGATGGATGGAACCTTCTCTCTGAACAAGAACCTTCCACGGTTAATGAGAATCTGCAACAGGGATGCTGTTTTAACAGGGATGAAATGACAACAAACACGGGCCCGAAACTACATAAATCCACACTGTTTTTTTTTTTTAATAAAGCAAACCAAATAAAAAATAGGAATCTTATAAAAAACAGTACTGTTCTAAGTAACAGCCTTATAATCACAATAACTAAAGAAAATTGAGACTGATAAAGTAATTCCACCATTCCACTTTTCCAGCAGGGCAAGATAGGCCAAGAGAGAATCTATGAGATTGCCAGGCGGACGAGTGTGGGGATTTCTGGGTTGCCTGACACAAGTAAATGGTTAGTGATATAAGTGACATTACTGAGCAGCTCTGGTCACCCACTTGTTTGGGAGCTTAAACACTTACCTGTGTTAATTCCTAAAATTCTAAGATTCCCTAACAAATGCTTATATAAAGAATAGTGACAAATTCAGAAAAAACACATTCTCTAATCTACTCCAGACACACTAGAGTGACTGAGCCAGGGATCAAGGTAAGACAGACCACCCAGAAGGGTCTGGACAGTTGGGAAGTTGGTGCACACTGAGGAAGAAAACTTAATTTATATGTAAGTGTGATCCAAAGGGTAACAACTGAAGATGATTGTATATAGCTATTGATTTAACTAATCTGGACTGCAAACAAATCTGTGCAAAAAGAGTCTTCCTCTGCTCTCAGGCATCTCCGATGGAATCCTGAGTTTAAAGAATCAGATCTATTTTGCGCTTTATTATCTACTCAAGGTTGTTTTGAAAAAAAAAAAAAAAAAAATCTAATTTCTATCCATTCTGAACACAATTCCTTATGGCACCAATTCAAAAGCCTACAATTCAGCTTATGTACAAATGCATGATCTTTTTGATTTTTCTTCAATTGCTGAGAATGCTAACCTTATCTCCCTTATTACATGGCTAGTGATGTGTGAGGAACGTATTTCTTTGGGACAGATGATCAAGAGTTTCATTAGTGGTTGGCTGACAGAGCAAAGGCCTTTCCAAATCAGAAGGGTTATTAATCTTTGTATTCCACAGTATTGGGCACTTAGTAATAAATGTCTGTTGTATAAGTGAAGGAAGGAATGAATGAACAAGAATTTTCTGATAACACTGTGAAGGCAACACAGTCAACGTTCATTCCCAATGATCTATTTGCGCAAAGAACATGAAGAAAGGACTCTGCAAAGACAGCTAGCTAGTCATCCAGCTGACTTACAGGTGAGCACTGTAGAGATCAAGTCCTGCTCTCCTACGCTAGGAGACAGAACTAGAAGCGAGATCACCTGATAGCCATGCCCAATCCCTACAACCACTTTAACGTGATGAGATGGTCCCGGAGCCCATTTCTGCCAAGACTCTTGACTTAGGCTTCCCAGTCAGAGAGGAAGTCTCTTGATGATAGATATCATATCCTAAATAGCTCTGTCTTCACAATGCCCAGAACAAGACAGTATACACCAACAGTCCTCAATAAATGCCTGCTGAATTCAAACTGGAAAATACGTTCTAAGGATACCAACCACTGAATGATGAGATCAAGCCATAACTGAGATTTATCGTTAAATCATCAGGAGTTATATCTGAAAGCAAACTAACTGGTCAAATGCCATTTCCCCAAGCAGTTTTCTGTGCTGACGTTCTGGGCCTCTCTCTGGCTTTTAAGGGAAAGAAGAGCTTCCTCTACCCATCTCCCTGTGAGAAGGATGGAAGAATTAGTCTACTTCATTTGAACGGAGTTAGAGTGGGTTACTCCTCGACAGAGACACACATACCAATGAAATAAACATACATTTCCCAAAGTCATTATTCAGTCCAGAAACTTACACGATATTAACAGCGTCCTCTTTTCCTTATATAAGCACTGGGATCAGCAGAGCTTTTGCCCCTTTTCACCCTAAATAGTGCACTACACATTCAGGAAACAGGAAGATTATGGAGGTGGGCCTAATCATGCAGAACTTGTGTTACTTGTGGATAATGACAGTAACTACTAGAAAAATAATAACCGTCTCCAAAAGAGGCCTTTAGATAGTGATTCAGAGAGATCAAAGATGAGCATATTTAGAGGACATGAATTGTAATACTTATTTATGATTAATGTCTATTTCTCCACGGATACAAAGCTCAAAAAATAAAACTGCCATATTTGGCACCGGGAACTAAAGCAAAGCCTGATGAGCTCTTATTTTAACACATCAACGTCAGGTTTCTTTGCTTGCTCAATATGTAATCAGTTTCCTCTGAGTAGGAAAAAAATTCAGAGTGATAAAGCAGATTTTTTCTGGTATTTATGCTGTTAAGGGCCAAGGTTGGTTTGTGTTGTTTTGTGCACATATGCCCCCCAGCTAGGGAAACAGAAGGTGGGACTCGACTCTTCTCTCATTTTGGCTCAGTCTGCATTTCAGAAAAAAAGATACATCTAAAATACTCAACTTCCAGTAGGATCTGATGGAGACAGGAAGATTCAATTAATGAGGAATTCTACAGAGGCTTTTTCAAAATCTGGAAAATGGCATAAAAAAGATAGTGACAGCTTCCCTCTAGCTAGTTTGATTTAAATTAATTATATCATTCAGACATATATAATCAGAAAATCACAAGCCTTTTTAATAAATATAAAGACAAAACACAAATGCAAAACGAGAAACAAACCTGTCTTGTGTCACTGGGAAGTAAAGCAGGTAATCAATTCCATTTACTTTTATTCTTCCACTTCCATGCTCATAAACAACTGCTTCTGCCTTTGCGCTCTTTCTTTTACCTTTGTAAATATAAAATTTCTATTAGTAAAAATCTTCAAGGCGAATATTCTGAGATAGGTAAAACGACATTAGATTTTCTTCCCCAGAAGGACAATATACTATTACACTGTATGTAGGAAAGTTCTACGAGGATTACAAGTCAAACAAAAATAAAATAGGCAAACTACACCATAATCGATGTAATAGAGCTTACTATGGGGTAATTTTGTTCCTCAACTCTCTTTTAGGAACACCACAATCACTTAAAATTAGTTTCAACAAGCGATGAAGTAATTCATATTTATTAACCTTACTTTAGAAAAACAAGCAATTTACAGTGGTCTTCTTTGATAATAAGGATATATCTAATCATAGAACTTAAACAAAGTATGAGTAGTATGATACAATAGAATTGGTAGAAATGAAAAGAATCCCCAGGAAAGGTCCCATTTCTTTGAAGTGCCAAAGGAAGAGTTGAAGGTTTATCATTTACTAGGTCAGGCCTTAAGAGCTGCATCAGAATGAATGTCTGCGCGGCTCCAAGGAACATGCGAGGTTGAGGGCCTCAAGTTTTCAGGTTTCATACTTTTGGTATCTGATAAGCAGGTTCCCTGAGCATTTTATAGGGGAAACCTTTACTACAAACAGTTTTTGTTTCTGCCAGTTGAAAATGTGAAAATAAAAAGATTTCACATAAATCTGTAAAAATAAAAAGTGTTAACATGATGGGGTAGGTATGCATCCACATTTTTTCTTGGGACATGAGAAGGTTCAGATTTTTGAAACTTCAACAGTCTTAAGAATTAGAATATCCAATGTAGCAGTAGCAAAAAAACAAAAACAAAAAACAAAAAACACCAAATGAATCAACTGAATACCAGGGAGCAATAGCAAGTAAAAATAATTGTCGTTTCTCAGTTTTCACGAAATTTATTTTCTCCCCACGGAATGTCATTACCTTCGCTGGTGCTGAAGGCCATTCCTTGCTCGTCATACTGCACAGGTTCAATCAGGTGTTTTTTTGATTGAATAGTTACACTCTTACGGAATCTCTGTACAAATTCTTCTTCGGCACCACAGTGCAGTGTCAATAACCTTTCCAGCAGCCGAATGAACTGTGCATACTGCAGACAATAAAATCAAAATTCATTAGAAGATGCAAGTGTAATTGCATTTGCTAAATTTTTTCTATTTTTGTATACCTGATCTTTCCAATGTTGCTTTTCCTGATGAATTTTGACGGGATGACACTCCTGCACCTTCATGCTGCTTTTAAAACACAGCATGCAGACGCCGCGCCTCCCCTGTGTAGCCCTCAGTGCCCAATCTTTTCTTTTGAGAAACAAAAGAGACTTACCAAGCAAAGAAAAATCAGTTTCTCTGTATTATAATTACATGAAATTGAGGTTTAAATTCATTTTCAAAAAATATTTAGATGATCTTCAAGTGTAATTTCTACTCTTTTATTAGCCGGATCAAGAGGAGGTTTAAAAATAATTTCCAGTTAAGTTATGTATAGTAAAATGGGGAGAGTTTGATTTCGAGAAAATGCACCTCTTAAATTATATTTCATAATACATTTGGCAAATATATCTTTAGCTGTTCAAGCTGTGTTACTTTAATGTTTATGATTTCCTTTAAAACCGAACAATCAAGCTATTTAAAAATTCAAGAGATACTTGACTTAAAGGGCAACCTCTTGAAATAAATTATCGCTGCTACTCTGTGCGTTTTTTTTAATAGTTCTCGAACATGTGATTAGAAAGTAAACAACTTGGTATTAACCCCTTAAAATTAGACGCCAGAGTAATCATTCTAAAGTGTTTATGCAGAAGGAGACAACTAATACTCGAGATCCTTAGTTAATGTGGAGTGTGAGACCCAATTTTTGATAACCTTATTTGTGTTTCTGTCAACCCTAAAAATCATACGCCTCTGTCGCCTCTGACTTTATCGTGAACATCTGCCATTAATAATCTGAAACGTGGAGAAATCTCAACAGTAAGTTTAAGAAGACTGCTTCAATTACTGCTTCCTGTGCTGTCACAATAAAAAAGAGGGGAATTTTCGAGGTAAGGGTGACAGACTTCGCCACCTGCGGTTCCTGGACTGACACAGCTCTGTTCTTTCCCTCCATTTCCAGGCCGGTGCCCTCTGCTCTCAGCGGTTCTCTCAATTCTACTGCACACTGACCATGAACATACAGAGGGGAAGCTACGAGTCCGGCACGGCCTTTCTGACGCACTGGGGGTAAGGTTTAAGAAGTCCCTGGCTTCCTCATCTTGATACCAGCCAGCAGCTTCAGGATTTCTTCTGCTATCCAGTACCCCCAAAGTATAGCAGACTATCATCTATGCATCTACTGTCTATGCACAAGAGATACACATATCATTACGTGTATATACAGAAAATGCATATATTTGTTTTGTTTTCCCAGTTGCACACCTCTGAAAAAAGTCCTTGGGACGTTTTTGAAATGGAAAAACAAAACCAAAAAACAAAAGCCAAATTTGTATTATTTAAAAAAAAAAAAAATCAAAGCAGCCAAAAAACACAGGAAACAATGAAATGATACATTTAATGAAGAAGCAAAGAGAGATTTTTTCAGTTAGATCCAAAGGCAGCAATAGTGACTTGGCAGTTAGGATATTAGAAATTAACTCCAGATCTACCACTCACCAAATGCCTGACACCTTGTTAAGCAAATTGCAACGTTTCCAAATCATTAATTTCTCCAATATGTTAAATGAGAAAAAGAGCAATTTAAGTACACGACTTAGAATCAACATGGGTGGCAAGGTACTAACAATGTTAACCAGTGCCATGGAAGGAAAAACCCTTCTTGGAACAATTTGTGAAACTTACACTCAAATATTCTACAAATAATCTAAATTTAGAACATCAACATATTTAAAACCATCAAATTTCCTCAGATAATACTGGCACATATTAGAGCACTTAGCAAAAGAGCACTCCAATTAAAACCTAAAGCCCAAACTTTATAGGGTAGAAGACTCACCTGGGGAGCTGGTTTAAGAATATGAATTCCTGGGTGACACCCCTGGAAATTCTGAGTGAGGGCTGAATCTTAGGAAACTGCATTTTCTAATCAGTTCTCTGGCTGCATTTAAGTGATTCTGACATAGGTGGTTTCGCAGATTCCAAGATGAAAAATACCGCCCTTCTAGAAACTGCACACAAGTAGGCCAGGGAGCGGCAAAGTGCACGAAGGCAACCATGTGCTCCCTTCTTTTTCTACTTAACCTGTGATAACTCCTTACACTTGTCATTATTAGCTTGTAAAATTAGCTCTCTGCTTTACTGAAGGAGATGAAAAATGACACCTGCCATGCTTCCCAAGAACTGCTGGCAGAGGACTGCAAGGGCACTTGTGGATAGGAGGATCTGGACAGCAGGCATGTCACCTTCCTGACCGCAATAAGGACCCATGGCAGAAAATGACTCTAAATATGTTTCAGAAAGGGAACTGTCTTAACGAACACCTGCCCCTGAGAAACATTGCTGTGAGATCCTAAATACAGCAATTGTCTACATTCTTACGGTACAAAGTCCCCTTAAATTTAAAAGATTAATTACTCACATCTTGATCTGACAGTTTTTCCACTAACATTTCTTCTAGTTCCTCCTTAATCAGCCATCTGCTGCCAATCAGGTCTCTGTTAAAATATCACATATATTCTCTTTTAAATTAACCATGCAATTAGAGTTCTGTCACAAAAGATCCCACATGTAGTAGCGATTCTTGATTGGGAAACAAATTTTTGTATTCCAGAGCATTAAAATTTCACCCAAGTAAACTATTTTTGAGAAGTGTTATTTCATTCCCTCACTCTACTTTAAAAAAGACACCCAGTCTAGCAAATGTTTTGCTGGAGGACTTAAACATGCTCTTGTGGAACTCATCTGATACACCAAGCTACCAGGTTTCTTAAAAATTAACACTGCACTTATTTTTCACTATTTACCTCAAAGGAGAAGCAATGGACACAGAGTTGGCTTGCCTGCGGACTAAAGTAATCATCAAGTCCAAGTAAAGAGCTAGCGGTGGTGTGTACAATTTTGAAAAGGGATTCTCGAAGACTTGTGTCTTCTGCATAAGAAGTAGTAAGTGGGGGCTGCCTGGGTGGCTCAGTGGGTGAAGCCTCTGCCTTCGGCTCAGGTCATGATCTCAGGGTCCTGGGATCAAGTCCCGCATCAGGCTATCTGCTAGGCAGGGAGCCTGCTTCCTCCTCCCTCTCTCTCTCTCTCTCTCTGCCTGCCTCTCTGCCTACTTGTGATCTCTCTCTGTCAAATAAATAAAATCTTAAAAAAAAAAAAAAAGAAGTAGTAAGTGAAGGAGCAGCCCGAAATCACCGGGCTGACAGATCTATCCTATCCCTGTCTGTCCAATGGAAGTCCAAATCTTAACATTTATAGGCCTTGTTTTTGGCATTTTAGTAAATATACAGCTATATAAACAAAAATTCTGAGGACCTCATCTTCAAATATAAGTGCCATTTAATACATAAATCTGGAATGAAGATAAAAATAACAGCAGTAACATCTACTTCCTCCCCAAAACTCACAAAAAACTCACCTGTTATTTTGACCCCTAACTTTAATGATCAATGCTGAAACAGGGAACACACTTGTAAGCTTTAAGTATGCCTAAACACCACCAATGACAAGTGGCATGTTTTTCATTCAAAATTTTCATGTATTCTAATGCAAGAGAAGAACTTACTTGGTTTCAGTTTTTTCTGAAAATAGACCTTTGGCTTGCAACTGATTCTGACGTTTTTCTGCTTCTAGTAGCTTTCCATATGCTTCCTGTGGCAAATAAAATACATGCGCTAAAATAAGAGCTATGGTACATTATGACTTCTACTTCATATTTTCCCTGTGAGCATTCCTCAGTTCAGAAGGGACCTCCTCACAGAATCTGGCTGCACAGCAAATAATACTGAAAATACTTTTTAATTATACTGTTTCTCAAACTAAAGGACAGTGGTGTAATTTCAATGAGAATTTAGTATAATACACAATAGCATATATTAACTGATTTTTAAATAATTCTGTAAGATATTTACTCTATAAAGAACTCTATTAAAAAAAAACTCCAGTGAGGTTGGTAAACAAAAAGAAAGCTACAAACTATTTTTCTTTAAGTTCCACAAACAGGACCAAAAATTATCCTGTTAAAAAAAAAAATCATAATTTATATAGCAATATGCACTTTAAATTCAGGGAATTAACCAGCAAAGGTATGGTATTTACAGCTGAACTACTTATCTAATACTCAGTATTTATATAATATTTAAGTCCTCACCATGTTAGTCTATATCTTAAAAAGTTTTCTATTATATTTGTTTTATTATTTGATTTCTTTCCATTAATTTACTTCCCAACAAAGTCTGCAAATGTATGTCACTTGTTAAATTGTAATATAAACAGGGGAAAACTGCCATTTTGTTAGAACTTGTAAAATGCAATAATCTGGCAATGAACAGTATCAATAAAATACATTTTCCAGGAAATCAGTTTACAAAAGTAGAATCATGCAAGTTGTCTCCCAGTTTTTTGACTGAACAAGTGTTCACTGAGGACTCACATGCAGTATGTATGTATTCACTTACGATTTAACATAATCTACCACACTGATACCTAATGAGTAGACATTTTCAAAGGATGAGCCAGAGATGATATAAATGACATTTTTTCCCTTGCTGATCATGTCACCTTCCAATATCACCAGCTACTGTCCAATAATGAAGATACAACCTCTTACTGTAGACACGTCAATCCATATCCCAGTCTTAATAATTGCAGATTTTGGAAGGGCAACTTCTTGTGGGCTCTGATTAAGCTGCCGTATATATCACAAGGTTGCTCAAGAAGTTTGCTCTAAAAAAATGCAAAGTGAGGGGTGCCTGGGTGGCTCAATGGGTTAAAGCCTCTGCCTTCAGCTCAGGTCATGATCTCAGGGTCCTAGGATCGAGCCCCACATCAGGCTCTCTGCTCAGCAGGGAGCTTGCTTCCCTCTCTCTCTCTGCCTGCCTCTCTGCCTACTTGTGATCTCTCTCTCTCTAATAAATAAAATCTTTTAAAAAAAAATGCAAAGTGTCTCTTTGCACAGGTCTCTGTCTGTACGAGCATGCATACATTAACGGCGTACATGGGGATCTCAAACAAAGTGAAACCATCACTAGTTCGGTAACTTGCAAAGGTCAGTTCCCAGGGAAGCAGCAGCAGCACAAGTGTAGAACTGGTTAGAACTGTAATTTCTCAGGCCCCAACCCAGACTTTCAAATGATGAACCTCTGGGGTGGAGCCCACTGATCTGTTTTAATGACTCCAAGTTACATACACTGACTTTTGGATCTAAACACTAGAAGTACCAAGAGCCTAGTACAACATAATATGATAAAGAGAAAAATTCAGTTAATTCTATTCTCTTGTTCATTATTAAGTGTAACAATCTCTACAGCTATATCCATAGTACAAATCCATTGCCTGTGGCAACAGAACTACAACAGTCTACCCCCAAGAAAGCAAAAATGAATGCGAACCATCCACATGTAATATGTATACCTGCTACTCAACTTAAAACTCTACAATTTATCTCCCAAGAATTGGTAAGTCTCATTTGACTTTTAACTCATTTTAGAAAGCTAAGGTACTGGGTTGTGACCCCAACTGGATACCGTATCAGAAAAATTTCTGTACACCTGTTTCTAGAAAGGAATTCTCAAACGCTCTAACCAGGTAAAATAAAGGAAGAAACAAGAACCCACAAGAAGTAGACAGACTCCATGCACACCACATCTCCCTCCCTGTGCACCTGGCCCCAGGCTGTTGGCAGGCTGGGCCCAGCCACACTGCTACACCTTGGGGATCTGGGGAAGGAACAGCATAGGTCTCTCTGGTCCACTCCAGAGTCTGGACGTTCTGAGGGTATGGAAGCCAGAGATGTAGTATCTTTCAAATCCAGCCAGCCAAACAAACAAACAAACAAACAAAACAAATCCAAGAGAACACCAACAACAGTAATAAGATGCCTTCTCCGGTTTGTAAGGCTGTTAATTTCTGGAATAACTATGGCAACTAGAAAATAGTAGTAATAATGAACCTGCCTCATAATCAAATTTTGAGTCACTTGTGACTGCTAAAGTAATCATCATTTTCTAATGACTCTGGACCAACTTTAAGTCCATGCTCTTCTTCACATTTTTTTTTTCACTGTGCTATTACCTTCCATGGTTATGTTTAGCTCCATAATCATTTGTAAATAGTGCAAGTGAGATAATCAGAAAAAAAAGTGTACTATGAGAAAACCAGCCAAAAACAATACATGTCAAATTTCAAACATGGTAAATTCATTTACAGCAGATGCTTACACTTTGATGGTTGTAATCCATTGAACTACATAATTCTCATTAAGGCACCCCATACATTTCTTTAAATAGGAAAACATGCATCAATATTTAGCGCAGTGCCTGACCCATGGTAATGGTCAAGAAATGACAGCAGGGGGGAGGGATGGCATTCAAGAGTCTAACAATGGAAACACTTTTACTGGTGTACCATTTCTATTTATTCTTTCTCTTCTATATAATAAGACCACTCTAGAGATTCTATCTTAGTTAGTTAGAGACTACAGCTCTCTGGAAAGTAGAGTCTATAGCTTCAGCTCCCTGAAGAGATGTGTACTAACCAGCATCAAAAAATCCCAAAGGGTATAAAATACGTCAGGAACTGTCAGCATCACAGATTATCACTGGTAGCTTCTGGTATATTGTTAAGTTTCCACTTAATTTTTAAAGGACACTAGAGAATTAACGTGACCCACCCATACTAAGTTTATATACTGTATTTAATAGTATAATTTTCAAATATGACAGGAATAACCCAGATGTGAAATGCTGAATCATTAATCACAGCTATGATTAATATTTCATAAAATCAAAGCAAGCCTATCCACCCCTCATGTCATCAGATTTCCATAATGTATGAGTCAAATTTAGAAGGTGCCTAATTTGAAAATACCAGATGCTCAGGTTGCAGAAAAGGGATGCTTAAACGAAATCCTTCCAAGAGCATGAGCAATATGACTTTTTAGTATCCTTCTTAAATCTGTTTTGGCTATGTTAATCATGTAGAAATTCCAATTTTAGGAAGGGTAAACAAATAAAATTTCTTGTGGGGGTGGTATAGAAGTATATGATATCCAAATGATGCCTAAAACATACAACAGTAAACTGACAGTAACTATCCTCTTAGATACTAGTTAAATAAGAGGAAAGTAATGGACTTAAAATATGCGTTTGTCAAAAAAAAAAAAAATCATAGAAAATCAGATTTCCTAAGTAGCAATCATCCCAATTTTTTGGCTACTGGCATATAAATGAAAGAAAATGAAATAAACATAATACAGAATTCATTTATCACAGTTAATGCTATTTATCTAATGTTTCAAGTGACATACCACACACCCTTGCTATCACTTTGTGAATACAATACACTGCATATATTGCCTTAAAAGAGCAGGCAGAAATATGTCAGCACCACCCTGCAGCTTTTTAAAAATCAGCACTCTGCACAGTTTTAAGGAGTTATTTCTTAATACCTCATTTCGAGAAGGGTCACTGTTTTAACTCCATTTTTAAAAGATAAGGGCACGAAATAAGAAGTTTTAAATATTCACCACAAGGTTACAAAGACGATGCAAACTACGTAAGAGTTCTGTGGCACTAAGTCCCCAGGACTTTTGTTTCTTGAAGTCTGGGATCTTCACATAGTGAAGTCGCTTCTAGGGCTGCTGTTCTCATGCTTTATGAACACAGACGGTTACTTAAGTCATTTAAAATAAACCAGAGAATTTCTAAACAAGCCAGGCTTCTTTCAAAAGGCAAATGAATCCCATTTATGCATAAGTTATCAGGATTAGAATTACTTGGTTTTCTTTCAAATTTTAACCTTTTTCACTTCAGCAGAGTAGTTTAAATAATATATAATGATCTACTTATTCCTTAACTTCAAACTTTTCTGGGAACAGATTTCATCTGTGGCCATGTAATTCCTTCAATTTACAGAAATCCTTTGAAAATATTCCATTGTTGGGGCGCCTGGGTGGCTCAGCGGGTTAAGCCGCTGCCTTCGGCTCAGGTCATGATCTCAGGGTCCTGGGATCGAGCCCCACATCGGGCTCTCTGCTCAGTGGGGAGCCTGCTTCTTCCTCTCTCTCTGCCTGCCTCTCTGCCTACTTGTGATCTCTCTCTGTCAAATAAATAAATAAAATCTTTAAAAAAAAAAAAAAGAAAATATTCCATTGTTTACTGTAAAGTGAATCCTAAAATATAAATGAGGTTTATAGATTTAAGAGGCTCAACTCCTGGTACAGTAAAAACTGCATCAAAAAAGAGATGCACAACCGTATCATAGAAATTGGGGTGAAGGAGTTTGTGTGAAATGTCAGCAAATGCCCAAGGTATTTGATAACTGATTTCTTCAATGTCTGTATGGCCTTTTCCAAGCACTGGTCTCATGGAACGTTAAAAGGGGCTCCGGGCAGCAAAGGTTCCGTGACCCAATGTTTGAGCAGCAGTGGGTTACTGCAACAGGCTTCTTTACTGTCAGACATTATCATGCTATCCCGTAGCTCCTGGTGGAGTTTCCCAGGACTCAAGGGGCAGCACTGCCAAACTCACTTCATGGCAGAACCTTTTTCATGAAGAATATTTTATTACCTGTGTTTCTTAGCAAACTTTGGGAAAGGGTGCAGTAGACAAGCCCAGACTAAATGGATCATATTTTATAAAAGGTTTCCACTTCAGAGTCAAATAATCCCTTCCCGTAATGAATTTTAAATAATTTTCAATTCGCTTATAGTGAGTGAATTTAAAATTTTTCAAGAATGTGTATATATTAATGATAAACTTGAATTAACATTTTTCCTACAAGTAAAGGCCCTACCCAAACTCAACCATGGCTGTCCAGGTTGTAAATGTCTCGCTCATGGGTAAAACCTTCTTTACCACCTGCATGGCCGGCCGGGAAAGGCTCCAGCTGCTGTGGGCAAGGGAAGCCGCCCCCCCACCCCTGCCCCGCCAGACTGGCAGGCCCCAAGGGCAGACAGACCACCCTTCCGCCCTGTCCCTTGACTGTGCACACATGGCTTTCTTCCTCATCTAGACCAAAGCTATTCACAGCTCAGCTGTGCCATGGCACAGCATTTTCTTTTCTGCACACATACCTTTATCCTCTTTATAAAGTCTTCCCTTTCCTTTACACTTCGGCTCGGTTGTTTCAGGAAACCTTTTTCTCCCTCTGTTCATTCCTTCTGCTCCTGAAACCCTAAACTCAAACTCTAAAGAAATCATGTCTGAGACGTATACAAGTTCTACTCGTCACATGGCCATTAAGGAAGTGGAAAGCCATCCATTTCGGGTGAGAAAGACAGATGAGCCAATGCCATCAAGCATGGAGCTCCCTTTTCAGTACTCAAGGACCTTCTGAGAAACTCTTTAAGTCTCTTACTTCTTTTTACTTAAACTATTTTTTACTCCTTAAGACACTACTTGTTTGTTCTGTCCTATACTTTTTACATTACATATGCATCCCACATTCACTACAGTGTAAAATAAGTGGGTTTTTACTGACTTTCCCAGGAACCTGAAGACATATATTGTATCCATAGGAGAAAGGCAGTCCCAAGGAAGGGGGCAACAACCTTTGGAAAGTAACATGTTTACAAAAGCTGAGACCGCTACGGATCAGCACGTTTCCTCCACTCCACTTCATGATTTCCTATCACGCTTCACATCTGGGCAGGAACAATAAATTGCTTCTTTCTTCTCATCCTCATCTTCCCTCAAAAACCTCCCTGCTTCTCCACAAAGACCGGATGGACTGATGACAGGCCAATTGGAAACAGTGTTCACTAAAGCACTGGAGGTTATCCTTAACTGTAAGCCACACAGGGACTCTCTTGTATTAGTTTCTGTGAGGTAATACATAAGCCTATTACACCAACAGTGACCAAATACCAAAAAGAGGAATTGGCATTATTACAGAAGACAAAAAGGTTAACTGATGTCAGAAAGGTCTCCTGGGCAGAACTGCACATATATTTGAGACCCGTGAAGTTTTTTGTTTGTTTGTCGAAAAGCTTGGCCCACGACTGCCATGACTCACAAAATTAGTTAGCTAACCAGAAAACCTAGTTTGGCTTAGGGTCTTTTTACCATGTCACATGGTAAGAACCTGTATCAAAAGAAACGGCAACGGCAAAGATACACTTCCAAGTGTTTAAGGCCTGCCACAGTCTTTGGGGGTCAACTCCTTGCTGCAGTGGGATCACTCTCCTACAGAATCAAACGGCATCTGAACCCCCCGCCCCAAGAGGAGGCAGAACAAAGGAGTGAGCAAACACATGAAGCAGTTTCAAGTTTTATCCTTTTTTTCTTTATACCCGATGCCTGACTTGCCTACAAAACCACTTCTGTAAAGTGACCAGTGGATATTTAGTCACAGTGCTTCAGAGTAGCAGAGGGTCTCTAGGAGGGCGATCACCTGCACCATCTAGGAAACGAGGCTGGCACGACCACAGCTGTTAAGAGCATCGGCCATACAGGAAGCTGATGGGCGCAGACTTAGGAAAGCATTTGTCCTTTTTTTCCACGCATACATTTACTTTAAGATTCCACAAAAAGTTGGTTTAGAAACACAAGGTTTTATTAATGATCTGAATTAAAACACTCAGGTTAAACCAAACGATCTGTCATTCATACATGTAAACTGTTCTGATGAGCAATACAACAAATGCCGAGCCCCACACCGCCTGGGGAGTCAAAACACCCCACACAATGAACGGACCTAAATTACGGAGTTGAACTAAAACAGAAAAGCCTGAAGAACTCAGATCTACGTAACAGAAACTGTATTACTCAGAACAAAAAAAAAAGAAAAGAAAGAAAGAAAACCCTTTATTAATCAGTTGTAATTTGACATCTTCAGTCAGACTACGGTAGTGAAACCAACTGCTTTCTTGAGCAGTACCTTCCTAAAACACAGAAACCAACCCAAACTGACGTTAGGGCCCTTCTACAATGTGTAATTTCTTCATTATGATGGAATGCAACAAAATATCTTGCCCTTGGGTTGCTCAGTTTCAGCCCAAACAAATGCAAATGGCTTGTCAGCTGACAGCTGTTTGATAAGGCTCCCCTACAAGACCTGCATACTTTACTTTTTTCCGTGAAACTCGGGATGAAAGGCAGAAGGCAGGAAGAGAATTAATGTAGCATACAGTCTAAAGGCAATGCTACAACCGTGATTAAGTAGAAAAGTTAAAAGGCACAGATTTTCCACAGCTTCGCTGCGTGCAACCCATCCGTGTAACAAGTTGACAGGCCTAGCGCGTCAGCTCCATCATCCCCTCCGACAGCTAAAACGCAGCATTGCATCCCTTTTCAGAGAAAATTTGCGTCTGCACCATGAAGCGTTGTACATTATTTCTTAGCACTGCAGGGGGCTCAAGTCCATATGGAACCTTCACAAATATTACCACAGATCAAACCAGCGGCGTTTGGAGGCAGATTTGACATACCTATTTAAATGAACAGCAGGGGTCCTCGGGCAGCCTCGGGCTGCGGGGGAGGCTCAGCGGAGAGCCAGCCGCAGCTCCATTAGTCAGCAAAGACACACTCTACATTTATCATTCATTTCATTTCTGCCAGGGCAAGAAGCTCATTTGCCCAAGGTCAACAAAAAGCGAAAAGAAGGTTTTCTTTTTTTTCCCCAAGAAATAAATGTACCTGACAAGTGGGGATTTTGTCCTTTGGGTTTGTGGAGCACAAATAAACACCAGAGAGTTCTAAAAAAGCCGAGTGAATGTGTGCCTGGGATTCAAGCAACCTGAAAGCTGACTGAGGCCCAGGAAGCCCGGTGCATGTTTTTGCAATTTTTTAAAAACTGTATAATGAAGAAAATAAAACCTGACACCGTGTTCTTAAAGCAAGATAGGTTCTGTTGTCCAAAACTGGGTATTAGCAGCTAGCCATTTTATTCATAATACCCTAGGGAACCCCCAAATTTGCACGCTATCAGACACTTAGAGCGCTGAAACGAGAAAAAGCTGTTCCCAGTACACTCAAACGCAGTTGCAAGTCAACGTGTAATAAAACCATTTCTTAGGTCTTTGGAGGGCACATATTCTAGACTCATAACGCTGCATTTGCCTCTGAAAGGCAAAAACTGCATAGGATAAACAAAAAGTACAGACAACAATTCGCCTGTGGTAAACGCCTTACAGCCCGACACGCAGCCTTACCCTCCACACACGTGCATGCATTATGACTGAGTGGAGCACTGACCTCCGAAAATGATCTCAATTTGTAAGTACCAGCATTTTAAGGCCAGACATTCAGACATAAATTCTATGGTGTTTATTTACCTTTAGCAAAAATGAGTTAATAAGATATAAAGTCTTTCGACATACTGCCTTACCTCTAGAGATCTTAGTTTTGCTCAGTCTGAAACATACTAGGTAAATCCTGAAGCCGAGCAAGATCTCTGGTACAGTCACTTAGCTTACAGTTCATATTATTAATCATCGATGTAATATACTTACATGCATTAATGAATAATACGACTGTTTGCCAGTATAAAAGAGAAAATGAAATGGACGGCCATCTTCTCCCCACTGGATCGCTAATAAAAAGCGAAATGAAAATAAACAAAAATAAAAATTTATAGGTATATTTAACTGAAGTTAGGAGACATGTCTACAATTCTGATTAACTTTTAATGACAAAACAGCATTAATATTTGGAATTTTAGTATTTGGTTCAGCATGTTTAATGTTCTGTAAACTATTTAGGATATTTAATATTCCACACTCGTTAACATAAAACAGTGTTTGTATCTGATAAAATATTCCTGTGCAGTTCATCATGAGAATTTCTAGAATTTGTTTTAAATAAACACACAAAATAGCAAAAAATCATCTTGTTAGAACAAAGAATTTAGGTTTGGCTAAAAATACAACACACTCCCATATTCTTAAAAGGGAAGCTGATAAAGTCAATGATGTCATACTTTCAGGAAATTAGGAAAAGGCATAACATAACAAAGAAAAAACTAATTGGATTTTTCCATGCCACATTATTTGTTCCAACTCTGTGGTAACACACCTCTGAGAGCTCAAACGTCTAAAACAGAAGGGCCCCCACAAGGTGTTATGTGTAATTCCTTTTGAAATACAGATGGTCATTCACATCTAATAAACACCAAACAAACTGAGGAATGGACTCACTGTAGTAAATAAACCAAACCTGACTCCACATCCTTTGCCCTTATATCTACTGTTGTTTCTTGGTTAACCATTTGTGGGAACTTCAATATGTTAAAGGTACACTCCTCTGTCAATTACAGAAGTTGAAAACTCTTTTCTCCCAATGTATCACTCACTTCTTAAAAAAAAATTTTTTTTTTTAGAGAAAGCATCTTTTTTTTTTTTTTTTTTTAAAGGAATGAGGTCCTTTATCTTTTTTTTTTTTTTCATGGGGAGGGTATGTGAGACAAACACAGACAGCCTTAATGTGTTGAAATCCTTTGTCACCCACCTTTTACTTTGGTTTACAGTGTCTTTCATAGTCAAGAAGTTTAAAATATATGCATACTGTAGAATCTGTCACTTTTCTCCATAGCACGGTTTACTGGCTGTTTCTCACTATCACCCCTACTAAGGAGCCTTGCTAGACATCTTTTACCCTAATTGCCTCCTCCCCATGAAACTTCAATATCACAAACATACCATAGATCTGTTGATGTATACAGAGGTCATTTGGAGGGTCGTAAACATTCTAACAGTTCAGACTTTTCTCACCTCCTATGAATCCATTTATGTCCCCTCAGGGACAACATCACTTCTATGGAGAGAGCATGCTTTAAGACTTTGGGATTTCTAAAAACTATTTTCCTATATTTTCTTCTGGAATTTTTATTTTTTTTTTCATGCTCAGAAATTTCATCTATTTGAAATCTATGTTCATCAGGCAGAATCCAAGTTATTACCTTGTGCAGCAAAGAGAGTCTTTGTCCCATCAGTTTTTTGATACTACACTCTTCTGTTGAGTCAATCTTTTTTTTTTTTTTTTAAGATTAATTTTAGAGAGAAAGAGAGTGCACTCAAGCAAGCACGAGCAGGGGGAGAGGCAAAGGGAGGAGAGTGAATCTTAAGTACACTCCATGCCAAGAACGGAGCCCAAAGTGGGGCTCGAACTCATGACCTCGAGATCACGAACTGAGCCAAGACCAAGAGTCCCACGCTTAACTGACTGTTCCTGTCCAGATGCCCCACTACGCTCTTGTGTTGAAATACCACCTGTACAATAAGTAGGATATTTCTGCTTCTGAGGGTAACTGACATTACACACAGGCCACTCTAAGTGAATATATTTAAAACAAAGACCAAAATTTCATAATAAATTCTGAAGAAAAGTCTTGATAGGGATTTTAGCTTGAAAAAGAAAACTAGATTCTTATATGCCAAAGGCAGTGGATAAATTAAATACTTCTCCAACATCATTCTCAGACTTCATGAAATCCTGCATATTTTCCCATAGTTGGAACTTCACTATGCAGTCCATTTGCACTGTATGTAGTGCTGAAGCAGTCAGAAAGTGCCCAAGAAAGACAACTATCATGGCTGCACATAAGACTCTACTGTAAAACTCGGGAGGGGTTTCTGAGTGGGCCTCATTTCGTGTGTGAGTATATAGAGGTGCCTGTGTATATACTTCATTTCATAATATTTCATTCAATCCAAGATGTCACAGATTTTAAGATGCCCCATCATGTATCTTATCCAAAGAAGGGAGGAGAAAATGCTGAACATCATGGTTTACATTAATTGTAAAATTAATCCTGTGGTCAAAAATGTTAAAACTGAAAAACTGTCTTGGAATTCACAAAATATGACATTAACAAACATGCTGCTGCTGAATACTCTAATCTGGTCCACTGGTCTGTCCCGACACTGCACCACCACCACCCTTTGACTAAAATAAGCTTTTGCTGCATTTGATAGCTGCTAAGGTAACGTTCCTACATTACCCTTACTTTTTAAAAAGTTCTCTCTGCTTCTTACACATTTACCCTTTCAAATTAAGCTTATAAATATCTCCCAAAAGTCCTACTGGGACGTTGATTAAAATTATATTACGTTTGGGGGCTCCTGCGTGGCTCAGTTGTTAATCATTTGCCTTCGGTTCAGGTCATGATCCCAGGGTCCTGCGACTGAGTCCCACATCGGGATCCCTGCTCTGGGAAGCCTGTTCTCCCTCTCCCACTCCCCCTGCTCGTGTTCCTTCTCTCGCTGTGTGTGTCTCTCTCTGTCTCAAATAAATAATAAAATCTTAAAAAAAAAAAATTATATTACATTTGTTAATTTTTAAGGAAGTAACTTTCCAATATCTTTTCTTACAGAACATGAAATCTTTTTTCTAGCTATTCAGACTTTCACCTATGAGGTTTATAATTTTATTAATTTTCATATTTACTACATAATAATTTTCTACATAAAAACTCATGCATATTTTTCTAAGTTTTACCTGTATTTTAGTTTTTAGTGTTCTTGATACTGTCCCCTCATTTAACTATGTTTTCTATAAAATTAACTTTATGCGATATGTCTTTCTTTCACTATTTTTTCAACGCTTTTTTTCTTTTTTTTTAAGAGCAGTTCACAGCAAAGTTGAGAGGGAGGGAGAGATTTCCCATATACCATCTTTGCCCCCAAATATGCATAGCCACCTCCATCATAAAACATCCCCTTGACAGTGTGCCTTTGTTACAAGTGATGAACCTACTCTCTCCGGAGAATTCTTATCACTCTAAGTCCACAGTTAACAGGGTTCACTCTTGTACACTCGGTGAGTTTGGATCCAGCACTATAATATCATACAGAGTAGTTTCAGTGCCCTAAGGATCCTCTGTGCTTCACCTACTCCCCTTAACCCCTGGCAACCACTGACCTTTCCACTGTTTCTGTAATTTAGCCTTTTCTAGAATGTCATATACGTAGAACATAGTAGGTAGCCTTTTCAGATTGGCTTCTTTCCCTCAGACATTTGCATTTAAGTCTCCTCCATGTCTTCTCGTGGCTTGACAGCACCCTTCTTTTTAGTGCTGAATAATATCCCATCATCTCTACATACCACAGTTTCATTACCCATTCAAATACGGAAGGACATCTTGGCTACTTTCAAGTTTTGGCAATTATGAATCAAGCTGCTATAAACACCTGTCTACAGGTTTCTGTGTGGACCTAAGTGTTTAACCGCTCTGGACAAATACCAAGGAACACAAATGCTGGATCGTATGGGAAGAGTATGTTTAATTTTTTAAGAAACCCCCGAACTTTCTTTCAAAGTGGCTGTACCATTTTTGCATCTCCATCAGTGATGAATGAGAGCTCCTGTTGCTCACCATCCTTGGCACAATTTGGAGGTGTCAGTGTTCTGGATTTTGGCCATCCTAAAAGGCATGTAGTGGTATCTCACTGTTGCTTTAATTGGCATTTCCCTGAGGTGAAGCATCTTTTCATATGTTTACCATGTATATACCTTCTGTGTTATCTATTAAGAACTTTGACCAATTCTTAAATTGGGTCATTGGTTTTCTTACTGTTGAGTTTAAGAGTTCCTTGTATATTTTGGATAACAGTTCTTTATCAAATACATCTTTTCCAAATATTTCTACAATCTGTTGGCTTGTCTTTTCATTCTCTTGACAGTGTCTTTCTCACAGCAGAAAATGTGAATTTTAATGAAATCCAGCTTCTCCTTTGGTGTTGTACATAAAAAGCCATAGCCAAACCCCAGGTCTTCTGGGTTATTAATTACTGATTCAATTTCTTTAACTGATACAGACTTATTCAAATTGTTCACTTCTGGTGTAAGTTCTGGCAGACTGTATCTAACCTACAAGAAATTGGTCCATTTCTTGTAGGTCATCACATCCGGAGGCATAGAGTTGTTCATGGTATTCCTTGATTGTCTTTTTAATGTCCCTGATCTGTAGCAGTATCCTTTCTTTCATTTCCAGGACTAATCATCTGTGTCCACACTCCTTTCTTTCAGCTAGCCTGACTAGAGGCTCATCGATTTTATTGATAAAATAAAACTGACGTATAAAATCTATTATCAAAGAACCAGTTTTTGTTGATTTTCTTCACTGATTTCCTGTTTTCAACTTCACTGACTTCTGCTATAATTTTTATCATTTTTTCTTCTACTTACTTCAGATTTAATTTGCTCTTCTTTGTCTAGTTTCCTAAGATGGCAGCTTAGACAAGTGATTTTAGATCTTCTTTTCTACTATACACATTCACAATGCTATAAATTTCCCTCTGAACACTTCTTTTGTCTATTGTTTTTATAAAGATTAAATACCAGAATTCCCTTGCCACAGACAAGGCTCAAGTTGATTGTTCTAGACTCTTTCAGTTCATTTACCTATGTCTACCTACCTACCGAAATACAGAGGACTGTCTGCATGTTTTTTCAAAAACCCAATGGTATTAAGCTGTATTTACATTACATACTTCTTACAGACTATTTGTCTTCCCCTGGCCCCAAAATTCATGTTGGAGCCTAATCCTCCATGTGCTGGTATTTTGGTATGGGGCCTCTGGAAGGCGATCAGGT